GGGTGGGAGTGTGGCGTTTGCCATGGAGCGCATGTGCTCGTCAGACAGAGAGAGACAGAGAGACAGAAAGCGAAAAATCACTCCCCAGGGGGGATGGCCACACCGCAATCCCTTCTCCTCCATTCTCCTCTTGGGATCTTAGGCATGTACACACATATGCTTGGCATGAGTTTAAGCCACCAGGTCTAGGACTCGAACTGCAGTCAACTACATGGGAGTCCAGCAACATAGCTGTTACGCCAACTGCTGGTCCCAAATTTAAAAAGTCACTCTATCATTTACAAACTGGGTGACCTTGGACAAGTGACTAAACCTTGCTGAGCTTAAACTCTTCACTGATCAAATAAAGATGGTACCTCAGTTCAAGTATCATTTCCTCAGAGAAATGTTCTCTGGTCATTCACTTTCCCCCATCACACTACAGTCTACATCAGGATCATCTGTTAATAATCTCATAAAACTATTTTTATTCCCCTTGGAGCACTACTTCAGATTAGGATTTGGGGATGCATTGATGTCACAATTTGACCAAGGTCTTCTTCCTCCAATGGACTGATTCCCTATCTTTGTGCCTAGAGGAACGTTTTGGAGCTCAGGCAGAGAATGCTGTGTGCAGGCATAGACAGATCTCACTTAAAAAATGAAAAAGGTTGCAAATTCTTTGCCATGTTTTTCTTTCCTATGGAATCTGGACTGGCTCCAAATTTCTGAGATTGGACTTCGATTGATGCATAGTTTCTACTTTTGTGTGTTTAGAATACATCCTCTTGAAACTCAGCTCAACTGCTATGAGAAGCTCCTGAAGAGAAGAGCTGAGGGCTTGGAGGTTACATCCCAGTGGAGCACTCAGCCAATAGCCACTGTCCACCATGGCCATATAAGTGGACCCCTGCGGACACCAACCCCAGGGGCAGTACAGGATCTGCAGTCACGATAGCACCATATGCAGCAGAATAGCCACCCAGCTGGACCCAGCCAACTCACAATTAGCCAGAGATAATAAATACATGATTGTTGTTGTTGTTGTTTTAGTTTTCCCCACAGGGTGTGTGTACTCTCCAGAGCTACAAGATGGTGGGGAGACCATTCCTAGGTGCTACTCTCAGTAGTAAAGATGGCAGTCCCATTTTCTGCCTGTGGGGCACTGTTGGGGAAATGGGGTGGGGAGGGCAGAACCCAGCTAGGGGACAGTTGGACTCAGGCCTTTGCTCACATCAGACTTCAAATGAACGACATATATAGTGATGGTGCTTGTTTATGGTGTGAACGTATCTCTGTGAAATGTTATAAATAAACATTTCAAGTAGGTCACAACTGTGATGACATCGTCCAGGCATCTCTTCTAGTTTTAAACGTATTCAGATGTTGCACACACAGACGCATGCGCGCACACACACACACACACACACACACACACAGGTATACTTCCAGGATCCAAGACTAACATTGCTTTTTTTTTTCTTTTTAAAGAATTGTTTATTTTATTTGTTGTTATTATCTATCTTGTTTTAATTTTTAAAATTATTTTATTTAGCTAGCTTGTTTTCTTTCTTTCTTTCTTTCTTTCTTTCTTTCTTTCTTTCTTTCTTTCTTTCTTTCTTTCTTTCTTTCATTTGACCAGAGGGAGACAGAACGAGAGAGTGAGAAAGAGAGAGAGGAAAATGAGAAAGCAAGCCACCAGGTCCAGGACTTGAACCGTGGTCGGTCATGTGGAAGTCCAGCGCCCCTAGCCACCATGCCACCTACTGGCCCCTGTATTATTTTAATTTGACCACAAAGAGAGAGAGACAGAGAAAGTGAGAAAGCAAGCCACCAGGTCCGGGACTTGAACCATGGTTGGCCATGTGGAAGTCCAGCACCCCTAGCCACCATGCCACCTACCAGCCCCTGTATTATTTTAATTTGACTACAAAGAGAGAGACAGAGAAAGTGAGAAAACAAGCCACCAGGCCCGGGCTCGAACATGATTGGCCATGTGGGAAGTCCAGAGCCTTAACCACCACGTCACCTGCTGGCCCCCCAAGCCTAACATTTCTGTCTCTACTTCAGAATGCTCCAGGGCTTCCTTCTCCCTGGGTCTTGAAGGGGTTATCAGAATCTGTGCCTGCATCCTGCAAGGAAGCAAAGCCAGGATGTGTAGTCTGGAACTGAAACATGCACCAAGCTGCCTCAAGCACTTATCACAGAATATTAACACTCGAATAGGTCTTAGATATCACCAAGCACAACCCTTTCCTCTTACAGTTGAGATCCAAAGGGAGTAAATTACTCCTACATCTGATTGCTAGCAGGTGTTAAGCCTAGTCTCCAGAGGGATCTTTTGATCATTTCATGTTTTCATTTGTAAAAAGACAGACTCAGAACCATTAAAGTATGTATTGCATCCCCTGGGAGGACTGTACTTCTCTTTCTTTGGTATCAAATATCAGACCGCCTAGAGGAACTTTTACTAATACGCAAATCTTCATGGAATTGCCCAAAGATATGATAAACCAACCCCTAGAGACTTTTACCACCGTGTGTGCTGGGAAGAGCACTGTCTAGGGAGTCATTTATTGGCATTGGAACTGTGGAGGTAAGCTTCTTACCCTCCTTAAGCTTCATTGTCCTCATCTGTAAAGTGGTGCTAATGGAAGTATATAGAGTTTGATATGAGATTGCATTACACTATGCGTGTAAAGGCACTCTCATGGTTTCAGACACATCGTTAAGTGTTGACCAAAATACTAGCTGTTGTTATTATTATTGTGTTGTTGCTGCTGCTGCTCCTCTTGTTATATGGATTAATCTATTTTCAGTATAGTTTCTGGGCCCTCTCTCCCACACTCCCCACCTCTTCCCTCTCAGTTGGAGTCTCATGTCCCCACTCTTGAGCTTCTATGGCTCTCAACACTGATTATCAAGAAACTGCTTAAAGTTATTTACTCTCTTGGACTTCATGATGTCAAAATGTGTGTCTACTAAATTATCTCTATTAAGAAGTAATTCCTTTTCCGAGGTCAGATGAAGTAAAACGGCCACAAGTTCTTTCTTTGTCTACTCCTCGAACCTGTGACTTGATTTAGTAGAATATGGTAGAAGTGATGGTGGGCAGCCTCCAGACAAGAGGCCTTCTGGCTTCCACTAGTGCTCTCCTGGAGGAACAGGGGGGTCACCGTGATAAAGAAGTCCAGGCTTGGCTCAGCCTTGGAGGTGCAGTTGGTTCTGTACTGAACTGCAGTGCTGGAAACCACATGGCTGACCACCTACTGGCCCCTGTATTATTTTAATTTGACCACAAAGAGAGAGAGACAGAGAAAGTGAGAAAGCAAGCCACCAGGTCCGGGACTTGAACCATGGTTGGCCATGTGGAAGTCCAGCACCCCTAGCCACCATGCCACCTACCAGCCCCTGTATTATTTTAATTTGACTACAAAGAGAGAGACAGAGAAAGTGAGAAAACAAGCCACCAGGCCCGGGCTCGAACATGATTGGCCATGTGGGAAGTCCAGAGCCTTAACCACCACGTCACCTGCTGGCCCCCCAAGCCTAACATTTCTGTCTCTACTTCAGAATGCTCCAGGGCTTCCTTCTCCCTGGGTCTTGAAGGGGTTATCAGAATCTGTGCCTGCATCCTGCAAGGAAGCAAAGCCAGGATGTGTAGTCTGGAACTGAAACATGCACCAAGCTGCCTCAAGCACTTATCACAGAATATTAACACTCGAATAGGTCTTAGATATCACCAAGCACAACCCTTTCCTCTTACAGTTGAGATCCAAAGGGAGTAAATTACTCCTACATCTGATTGCTAGCAGGTGTTAAGCCTAGTCTCCAGAGGGATCTTTTGATCATTTCATGTTTTCATTTGTAAAAAGACAGACTCAGAACCATTAAAGTATGTATTGCATCCCCTGGGAGGACTGTACTTCTCTTTCTTTGGTATCAAATATCAGACCGCCTAGAGGAACTTTTACTAATACGCAAATCTTCATGGAATTGCCCAAAGATATGATAAACCAACCCCTAGAGACTTTTACCACCGTGTGTGCTGGGAAGAGCACTGTCTAGGGAGTCATTTATTGGCATTGGAACTGTGGAGGTAAGCTTCTTACCCTCCTTAAGCTTCATTGTCCTCATCTGTAAAGTGGTGCTAATGGAAGTATATAGAGTTTGATATGAGATTGCATTACACTATGCGTGTAAAGGCACTCTCATGGTTTCAGACACATCGTTAAGTGTTGACCAAAATACTAGCTGTTGTTATTATTATTGTGTTGTTGCTGCTGCTGCTCCTCTTGTTATATGGATTAATCTATTTTCAGTATAGTTTCTGGGCCCTCTCTCCCACACTCCCCACCTCTTCCCTCTCAGTTGGAGTCTCATGTCCCCACTCTTGAGCTTCTATGGCTCTCAACACTGATTATCAAGAAACTGCTTAAAGTTATTTACTCTCTTGGACTTCATGATGTCAAAATGTGTGTCTACTAAATTATCTCTATTAAGAAGTAATTCCTTTTCCGAGGTCAGATGAAGTAAAACGGCCACAAGTTCTTTCTTTGTCTACTCCTCGAACCTGTGACTTGATTTAGTAGAATATGGTAGAAGTGATGGTGGGCAGCCTCCAGACAAGAGGCCTTCTGGCTTCCACTAGTGCTCTCCTGGAGGAACAGGGGGGTCACCGTGATAAAGAAGTCCAGGCTTGGCTCAGCCTTGGAGGTGCAGTTGGTTCTGTACTGAACTGCAGTGCTGGAAACCACATGGCTGACTATGGGTTCTGATCCTCTGCCCAGTTGATATGGTGTGTACATGCCCCCAGTTCTGATGAGCTGAAGGGATTGGGGAAGAGGGTCATGACATGACCCTGTTGAAGTGTCTCTCTCTGTCACACATGCCTATGCTCTCTATCATGAATGAAATAAACTTAAAAAATAAATAAATAAAAGGGCAGCAGTAGCCCGGGTTCTCCTGCAGAGAGTCAGTTAATAGCCCCAGCTAACTGACAGCTATAAGAGTGAGACCATCTCATACCAGTCTTGGTAGACCAGATGACCAGTCCTAGTAGACCACAGAGCCACAAGAGTGATCCCAAACAAGACTCGTAGAAGAACCATCTAGTTGAACCCTAACTAAATAGCAGACTCTTCATCAAATAAATGGTAGTTGCTTTATGCTACTAAAATTCAATGCAGTGTGGTATGCAGCAATTATAGATAACAGAGACATGGTTCTCAAAAGTAAGATAATGCATAACCAAAAAAAATTGCAAATATGTAACATCATCTTTGGGACCAATCAGGCTGAATCTGGATAAAGTGAGGAAATTGTTGGCAATGGTTGGAGCAACGGCAAGCATCCTGTTTGTGGAGGCTGAAAAATTAGCAAGAAGACTTGAGGTTGGAAACGAGGCGACATGTGTTATAGGTCGGCAGCACTCTCAGGTCAGACTAAAAGAAACCGAGGCAGCTCACCTGTGTCTCATCTACACCACAGAACAAAATAACAGGTTCTGAACCTAGTAACATGATAAGACGAGACTTCCAGGGCTCTTGGTGTAGGCCAGTGCATTGTTCAGGGAGAAAATAATGTAAATAATCATGACTACCAATAGCTGGGGTGGAGAAAGTTAAAAATAGAGATAAATTCTTTGCAACTCCTCTCATCAAGAGTTGAAGTTTATTTTCCCACCCCAAGTCTGGGCTGGACTTTCTACTTGTTTCAATAAACAGAATGTTCTGGAAGTGACATGGTATAGCTTCTGGGCAAGGACATAAAAGAGCTTGCAGGTTCTACTGCAATTATGCTGCCCCTGGCTGCTGTGAAGGAAACCTGGGCTCACCTGGCCACAAGGAGCAGAACCACGGCTCCCTAGCTGACACTGTGGCTGAGGGCTACATGTGTGAGTGAGGCCAATGCAGACCATCCAGGCCAAGCTGACTCACTAGCTGTTTGCAACCACAAGACTAACCCCAGGCCAGACCACCAGATGACTCTCCCAGCTGATCTTGGCCCAAGTTACTGAATACAAGATTGTGAGCAAATAAACACTGGTTATTTTAAGGAGCTAAGGTATGGGACACTTTTCTTACATGGCAATAGATCATTAAGACACACTTGGAATCAACAGATGGTATAATGATTACGTTGCTGGATTTCCACGTAGTCAGCCAGGACTTGAGTCCCAGATCCTGTGGCTTAAAATTCACACTGGGTGCATGTGCATGTGTGCCCAGAGTCCCAGCAGGAGAAGGGATTGTGGTGTGGACATCCCCCCTTCCCCGCCCCGATTTCTGACTTTCTGTCTCTCTGCCAAGTGCATGCACCCTATAGCAAAAAATCTCTCTCTATATTGAGCATGCAGGTACATGTATCCAGTGTGAGTTTGAAGCCACCGGGTCTGGAACTCAAACCATGGTCACAGGCCCCGGTCTTACTGGGTGTTGGAACTGCCTGTGGAACTTTATGAAGTGCTGGGGTCTTAATCCTGTCCTCAGAAATTCCGATATGATTCATCCTGGGTGTAGCGAGGGATCGGATTTCCATGTGCGGCCCAGACTGAGGTTGCCTGCTCTGCATGGATTGGTCCTGGCACTTTGGAAATAGAGCCCCACCCACATGGCCTCTGCTAGGAAGCCTGGGCCTTGCCCCCAATAAAGAAGTTGTATTTAGGGATGCAGCAGAATTGAAACCAGCCAGAGGGCTGCCAGGGAACTAGGAGGCTCTACTGGCCAAAGCTCGTGTTCCTGGCACGAATCACAGGGTTCAAGACATTCATGTTTAGGACCAGCTGTGGGTTGCAGTCAGGGCACAGAGCCTCTCTCGGCCTCCCCTTCTACACCTGTAAACAGGATCCTAAGGCCATCTTTGTCAGAGGCAATGTATACCGAATACCTGGCTCAGGTTAGTCTCAATAAATGGGAGCTATTGTTCATAAACAGAACACCCACAGATCTGAACTACCAGTCCTAGAGAAATTGAGAGCAGTTGATAACTGAGATTAACATGTGCAAAGATACAATACCTAGATTGCAAGAGACCTTTTCTGGCAAATGCTGGAGCCTTCCCATCATCTGTGATGATTCAGTATCGTTATCTTAGGTCTGTTCCTGCCGTGAAGCCAGGGCTTGAATGGTATTGTTCAAAAAGACTGCACCTGTGAAAAAAAATATTTTAGAATGTAATATGCGTTTTCAGAACGTACTCTTCCTGTGTTTTGAGATGAAGGAAACTCTTATTTTTTTTAAATGAAAATAGAAACTGGCCCCATAGCTCAGTGGTTAAGGAAGCCAGATCTCATAGGGCCACTCAGCATTTGAGTTCCAGCCACAGTGGCTTGAAAAACACACTGGGCACATGTGCATGCATACCCCAAATCCCAATAGGAGGGAGACATGGTGGAGAAAGGATTGGAAAATGATCATGTTCCATTGAGGGGTGCTTTCTCTCTCTCTCTCTGCACAAGTAGCCTCTGGCAATTAAAAATATATGTATTTTTAAATAAAATAGGGACAAGCAGATGGCTTAATGGTTACATCGCTGGACTCCCATGTAGTCAATCGCAGTTTGAGTTCCAGACCCGGCGGCTTAAAACTCAACGCCAGGCGCATGTGTATGCATGCCCGAAATTCTAAGAGGAGAATGGAAGAGAAGGGATTGAGCTATGGCTAGTCCCCCTGAGGTGGTGATTTCTCGCTTTCAGTCTCTGCCTTTCCAGTGAGTGCATGCACCCTATAGCAAAAATCTCTCTTAAAAAGAAAAGAAAAGAAAATTTAAAAAAAGAAGAAAAGAAAATAGGTCCAACTCTGGTGGAGAAGGCAATAGCTTAACTGATCTGCCGTGCTGGAAGCCACATGATGGACTGTGGGTTAGGATCCCAAGGTGACTTGAAACCCACTGGGATACATGGGTACCCAAGATCCTGAGCGGAGAGAGGGCTGAGCGAAGAGGGTCATGGCCTGAGGAGACTTTGTTGAGAGTATCTCCCTCACTCATGAAAGAGATCAAATAAACTTTGAAAAATGAAAACAACAACAAAAAGCCTTTACTATATAATGGAGTGTGTGGAATAAACCCCATGTCGCATCAACCGGAAGCTAAGGAAATGGTGGATTTATTTGTGCATATTAAAAAGGTGACTTTATAACCAATCCCTGTGAGGTCTGGCTTTACACTACCGCCCTTGAAATATGTACTGTCTGACTCTGCGGCAAGACAGTCCTAACAGCCAGGGCCTTTGGACACTTGTAGGGATATTTGGGAGGAGGTTGACAGGGAAGGGTATTGTGGTGTTTGCTGGGTGATGGCTGCCATATAAGACACACAGAGGATGACAAGAAAAGGTAGATTAAAGGGGATAATAAGACAGGGGATGTCAACCAAAGCTATCCAGAGTCTGGGAGATACGGGTCCTGTGCCAAAGCACACCTGCCCTACACACACACACACACACACACACACACACATTTATCTAAGTCTCTTTTTCATTGTTCTCCTTTCATTCCTTTCTTCCCTCAGACCTGTATTTTCTTCAAATTACAAAAGTACCAAATAATGCATACCTCTAACAGGAGAAGGTAGACATCCCTCTGTCTACTCAACTCCTTCAGCAGTGGTTCTATTATTTAGTATGGGTAAGAACTGCTGGAGAGCTTGTTAAAGAGCAACGAGTCCTGGGACCTATTTTTGACAGCTCTCAGCCCCCTTTGGTGAGTCTGTGCAAGCGGCCGTTAAGTTCTGCTTTAAGGCATGGTGCATTTGGCGGACCAGTGCGGGCTGCTGTCAGAGGTTTAGCGAGCATCCTTTCACACTGACCTATGCGCACATGCTATATGACATGGCACACACACACACACACACACACACACACACCACACGGCAACACTACATATGGAAGAGTTTTCTTATCTACCCATAGAGCCATCTCAAGGACCCCATCTAGTATAAAACCAGCATTTTGTTAGGCAAACTAAGAGAACGATTAGAGCATTCTCACGACTGCTTTCTGCAGTATCAGCGGGTGTGCTCTATCTGAAAAAACCTGCCCACACAAATAAAACCATCCCTCACTGCCAGAAACATGCTAGAAGTTCTGGCTTGTCTTTATCTGCAGTTGGCATAAATTAGGCTTCCTGCTGCCTGAAAATAGCCTTTAACCTATGCCCTGTGGTAATTAATATTTTCACGGTGATGAAATACGTTGATGGGCACTGTCTATGCCTTCCTGGTCAGAATACTAGGACTGGTTTATTAACAAAACTGGGTTCCTTGCCCTGGAGACTAAGAGGAACTGAGGAAAGAGCAAAGGTCTTGAAGTCCAATAGGCCTGAGTTAAATTAAGTACTCCATTTTACTAGCTCTATGTATCTGGGCAGGCCATTTAACCATCAACTCGACTTTCTCGAATGGATATAAAAATGAAAACAACAATGGATATCCATTGTTAAATAATGCTTTGCTCACAGACATGAAAAACGACACAGAAAGAACTTTGTCCACAGTAAGCTTTCAGCAAATCACTCAGTAAGTATTTACCGAGTGTCTGATTATTGTACCTAGATAGATTATTAGCCAAACTCTACTTTCCTTGGCTATCAGCAGTGTTGGACAGAGCCTTGAAGGTCTTAGTGCCTGGTGAGTCAGCTCAAGAGCCAAACACCCCTAGTTGACGGAGCTCCCAGTCTAGGGATAACCATCATTATCAACAGTATTATTTCATGGCCATCATCACCCTAGGGTTATTAAGTGGCTTTATCTTTGTGACATGAGTATGTGAGGAAGTTGAGCTGGATTAAGAGGTAAGACACTTGGGCACCTGTCTTGGCTTCAAGTTATAGATATGCTCCTACCTTATTTAAATCAATCGCAATCATAGTAGTGACTAATTCAGGCTTCCAGGTATGACTCTTGTGATAAATGGCTAAGTAAAAATTAGTCCTAACCGACCACGAGAGAGGTCGATTCCTCCAAGTGGAAAGTGAGGCAGTACCACTGAGGGCTCATTCTTACTTGCACTAGTGAGGGTGCAGCCCATGGTCTCCCATCGCCAAACTCAAAGCCTGCCAGCTGAAGTTGACCACATAGGCAACCGAGATTCTGAAGCCAAATAACGCCTGGTGGAAGGATGCTTTCTGAGACTCAATTTGGGTTGTTTGTTTTTTTGGTTTTGTTCTTGCCTTTTTTTTTTTTTTTTTTTAGGAAGGAGCAAGAGATTCTTCTGATAGGTGGT